GAACTGAAGGAAAACAAATTTGGTAGCATTTCGCTGCTATTTTAAGCACTGAAACGAAAAAAAAGGAGGAAGAAGAAAACATACCTGGGCTTGAACTTGAAGAAGAAGAGTGCTGAAATTTGAAACCCTAGTCGTTGGTTGCTCTGCTGCTCGCTGATTTTATAAAAAAAGACTGAGCTTTTTATTTTTTTAATTTAAGTGCTGTTGGCACTGTCACTTAAAAGACAGAAGTGAGCGCTTCAGTCGCTTCACGCTTTTAGGCAGAAGCGGCTGCTTCCAAACACCTGTTACGCTTCACCCAACAGAAGCGACACATTGGCCACTACGCTTCGCACTTAAAGTGCTGAAGCGAGCGTTATTCACAACACTGGGCAGAATACCTAATTACACACCCCCCCCAAACACACACACACATACACAACTCGGCACCTTTTATTTAGTACACACCTAAACTATTGGTAGTCCTAGTTACTCTTTGGACTTGGCTATTTGATTGCCTTTACCGCCTGGATGATCTCATCCTTAGGAAGTGACGTAAAAGCACTACCTCCTGGATTTTTTCTCCACGTGTTTTTAGAATAAAATATTTTCTTTTACCTTTTTAAATTCATCAATTTAGAAGATTTTTCCTGGTCCAATTTGTAAAAGACTTGGTTAGAACTCCATTATTTAGGTTAAATGTTTTTATTTGGCTAAAAATAATGGAGTTTCAACATACTTTTTGATAGATTTGGCTCGGGGAAAAAAAAAAGAAACACACAGGTGGAACTCCATTATTCTGGCTAAAACCTTTATTTTGGTAAAACAAATGGAGCTGTAGCCAATTTTCTTTTAAACAGATTTGGCAATAATGAGAAAATATATGCAGTTGGAATAAATAGTCATTGCATCTGAAAAAGAAATAAATAGAAAATACACCTTTTTTATTTGGCAAAAGATAATGGAGCACTAGTCAACCTTTCTTATTGATTTGGCTCGAAAAAATAGTTAAAATAAATAGCCATGGCATCTAAAGAAGAAATACAAAGTTGGTACTCCATTATATTGTCTTAAATAGTTTTTATCTGGCTAAAAATGACGGAGTTCCAGCCAAATATTTAAAAATTGGCTCGAAAAAGAGAGAAATAAACAGTTGGGGAAAATAGTTATTGCATCTAAAGCAAAAAAAAATGCAAATTTGAGGTAGAATATGCATTGTATTCTTTTCGTTAGCCGATGGTCTATCGGAAACAGTCTCTCTGCCCTTCAAGGGTAGGGGTAAGGCTGCGTACATCCTACCCTCGCCAGGCTCCACTTGTGGGAATACACTGGGTTGTTGTTGTTGTAATATGCATTGTATATTAAGAAGAAACAGGATGAAATACAATTGGAACAAGTAAATAATAATTCATGACTATGTGCCAGTTGACCGTTGGGAAATACTTAACTGGAGCTGATTTTTCGATTGTTCTTCACTCTTACGTACCTAAGAGAGTGTCTTCACGCTTTTTGCCACGTCAGCGTCTAGTGGATTAGAGGTTATCAAATATCCAAATCCAGGGGGTAATAAGGAGTATGAATAGTTCTAGTGTGCACCTAATAAATTTTGTCAAGTTTAGGAGGTAACTAGGTATTCTGCCTAGAAACTATGCTGTGTTTCACAGTACTTGCCTTGTTTAATGTGAAATAAGAAACCTCACAAATTATTACAGCACTAAGAAGTATTTAATGCTATACTGAGAAGTGGTAGGATGCTCAACTAGGAGAAATAGAGTATCTACTAGCTTGATTCCAATATATAAGGATAAATGAGATATTCAAAATTTAGCGAACTATTGTGGCATTAAACTTATTAGCTATACGATGAAACTATGGGGAAGAGCGATAGAGTGTAGACTTAGGGACACTACAAGAGTTTATGCTTGAAAAATCTACAACGTAGGCTATATTCTTGCTAAGAAGATCGATGGAAATTTATCGCTAGAGGAAGGATCTACGCATGGTGTTCATTAACTCAAAGAAAGCTTATGATAGAGTGCAGAGAAAAGTTCTCAGTGGGTGTTCTTTAAGAAAGTACTTTCATGTTAGAGATAAATGCATAAATGATATGCGTGAAAGATTTACTTAAAAAAAAGATATGTATGAAAGATCTCTCGCTAGTGTGCGAACAATAGTAGGAGACATAATGGAGTTAGGTGTTGTTCCCATACTTAATTACCTTAGTTATGAATTAGTTAACTAACACTAGACATGATAAGGTCCCATGATGTATGCTATTTGCAGGCGATATAACATTAATTGATGAAACTAGCAGGGGTGTCAACTGAAGTCTTGAATTATGGAGAACCACTCTAAAGAGTAAAGGTCTTAAGATAAGTGGAACTAGAATTGATCGTATTCGTATGCACTGCAAGTTTAGCCCGTATAAGATGAGTGAAGTTGAGGTGAGATAAGAGGGGATTACGGTGCCTAATTGCAAACAGTTCAGATATCTATGCTCAATATTCTAGGAGAATGGTATGATAGATGATGTTACACGTAGAACTTAGTAAGATAATTGAAAAGGAGAAGTGTACCAGAGTGTGATATGATAAAAGAATATCTAGCGAAATGCAAGGCAAGTTCTACAACATGATGGTAATATAGCAACATTATATATGACTATAGGAGAATGTTGAGCCTTTAAAATCTATTATATCAATAATATGAGTGTCTCAGAAATGCAAATGCTGTGATAGATGAGCACTCATACAAATTATACAAGATTAAATATGGCAATATCCCGCAAAACAGAAAAGGGTCAAAATTACCCCTCTACTATGTGAAAAGAATTATTTATGCCTCTTATATATTTTCGATCCATTATTGCCCCCGACGTTCCAAAAAAAATGCAAAAATACCCCCTCCTATGTTAGGACCCTCCAATGTGGCAAACATCATCCATGTGGCCTGACATTTTGCTGAAGTGACGCCACGTGGCATATCACCTCACCACCTCCAACCCCCTCATCCAAATGCATCAAAATATCTCGACCCATTTTTTGTCAAACAAGTATTGCATCTTTCCATCCACCAAATTCAACTTGTCACAAAGACAACAAACAATTGTTCAAGATTACAACAAAAAACAGTAATTAATGCATCAGAATTAAGCCCAAAAGGCAGATTGTGCAACTGAGGAACTGGGTTGATGACTGAAGAAGGAATGATTCCTTCGTCCTTCTAGGAATGAATTTTTGCATCTTGACAGGTGATGAAGCTTGGAAAAATCAACTGAAGTTGTTGCTCCTAAAATTTTGGAGGATGAAACTGCTGGTAGTTGTTAAGAGTGTTTATATACAGATATAGAGTATATAAAATACTAGAAGGGCTTCGCGATTCAGAGGCACATGTCATGAATCATCTTTTATCTGTAGTCATAAATTCCTACTTTTTAGTCCTTTAAAATTGCTCCACTGTTTTGTCAAAATGTCGAAGTCAGTTAATTTTTGGTAAAGTAATGGTGATGGGTTTTTGCGATGACAGAGAGGAGTGCTAAATTGGGAGTTTTCACCGTGAATGTACTGGTTGGATGAAATTTAAGGAGGTAATAGTAGAGGTGGTGGTCGGGTAAAGGGGGAGGTGGTGGTGAAACTTGAAAGAAGGCTAGAAGTAGTGGGGGAGGGGATACAATTGGGTTGGAGCCTTGGAGGTGGTGAGGTGGCATTGCCACATGGCGTTCACTTAAGCGAAATGTCAGGCCACATGGGATGGTATTTGCCACATGAGAGGGTCTTAACGGAGGAGGGGTACTTTTGCACCATTTGTAAGGTCGGGGGTGATAGTGGAACTAAAGTATAACGGAAGGTGCAATAGAGAAAAACGATCTATATAGATGATACCAATGAGTTGGAGTTAAGCTTTAATCATGTTTAATGTGTTTATTTTAGGTCTAATATTTTCTATGAGCCTACGTCTTGTAAAATATTTATAGGTCGGTAGAAAATGTAGAGAACCTACCAATAAAAAAAGAAAAGAAATTGTAGAGAACTTCTAATGCTAGAGAAACTAATTTTTTATAATATTGTACTCGATGGGCTTAAATAGAGCGACGTGGACAGTGAGGATTCATATAACTAACTGTAACTTGCTTGGAGTTGAGGCATAGTTGTATCAATTTTATTTTTTTTATGAAGTAAGAGAATTGCATTAAAGGCAACAAGAAGATGCAACAAGTACAAAAGAGAGATCCATAAAGACAGTCAGCTCCACAGACAAAAACTAGGCTAAAGCTAAGGAGCTGACAAAGTCCAAAAAATTAATAGGGCGATTAACAGGAGCTAAGTTCTGCTAACTATATAACCATAAAAGACGTCTAGCCTCAAGTGCGTATGTAGGAGTTCATATCCCATCTAAACATCTGTGGTTCTTTTCTGTCCAAACACACCACAAAATACAAGGGATCATCCGTCAGACTTTACTGATGGAGTTATCAACTTTCCATGAAGACCAGCTTTCCTAGGCATCCTTAATGTTCTGAGGCATGACCCAGCTTATACCAAAGATGGCAAAGGACCTACACCAGATATCTGCTGCAACTGGGCAGTGAAGAAAGAGATGCCTGTTGGATTCTGGCTGCTACAAACACATATAACATCTGTTGGCCAATTAAGGCATAGTTCTATCATCTGGTACCAGAATGTTGAATCTTCAACAGTCAGACTCAAATCTTTTAGATCTCTCATAATCATTCTGCATGCTTTTGATGTCCAGTTGGGAGGTAAAATTCCCACCATGTTAAAAGGCCTTACAAAGCCTTTGGTGCAGAAAAGGCTTTAGTAATCAGATGATTCAGACTTATTGGCTGTAATAGTCAGATTCATATTGATAGGTGGTTGTGATTCTTAATGGAATATGAGTGTTCAGATTCTTAATTTGAGTTCATCCAAGTGAACAAGCTTTAGATTTTTCAGTACTCATGAAAAAGTTTTCTTCACTAAAACATTATTTTGGTTAGTATAAGTAAATTGTTCTGTATTCAGGTAATTTCTCTATGCTTCAAGGAGGGATCTTCTGGAAAAGGACTCAAGGGCATGAAAGAGGTAAATAGCTATACCACTAAGTGAAGCATATTGATAGTCTATAAATGTTCCCCTGCTTAAGGTAGTTTTGTCTCCATTAGGTTGCAAAAGGATATATAAAAGGTGAGAGAGTCGGGTTTGCACAACTCTCTCCAGGTGTTGATCTTTACCTTTGTCCTCGGAGCGATGCAATTATCACTATTCTTGCAAAATATGGTTTCTTTAAGGGAATGGCAGCAGTGGAAGGAAACTCTGAGTTGATGATTGGTTGTGTTGTATGGCGGAAGAATCGAACAGCTTTGACTTCTGTTGCTAAAAAATCTGAGGGAAAGGTTAATTCCTCGCAGGAGCAGCTTCAAAAGTCACCATCTGATTCTTCTACGTTGCAAGGTGGAGGACAAGGTTCTTTACCTGTGCCATCAGTTGAGAACTCAAAACCATCTGCCCCAGTCAGCTCTTTCTCATCGCTTGAACAAGCAAACACTACTGATGACAAGAACGTTGGTATTGATTCCTCAAGCAGGACAACCTTAACAACTTCCGGTGTGAAGTCACCCACTTTTCAGCAAAAAGAATCTGAACTTTCCAGCTCGCATCTTTGGGGATCTAAGGGGCACTTCTTGGAACCACTCAAGGAAAGTACGGACCTCCCAAAGGCTGTAACATCACTGCTGCCTGATGCATCAAAACCAAAAGTGGCGTTTTCAGAAGATGACGATCTCCCTGAATTTGACTTTGGAACTGCTAGTGGAATATCTTCAAGTTCCCACCGTTCTGATGGATCCATTCTGGACAGTCGACTTCAACTTTCTGGAAGTAGGATTCTAGATATGTCTAAACAGCCAACCATACCTATAGCACCCTCAGTTTCCACGAGTATTCCTAGGTCAATATCATCTCTCAGTCAAAGTATGCCCCTAGCTAAAAATGTCGCTGACCACGGACACCCAAAGTCCATTGGTGGTCCAGTGGCAGTTACAGCTTACGCCTCTGGTTTACCACTGATTCCGCTTGATAACTCTGGCAAGAAGAGTTTATTTTGTGATGATGATATGCCTGAATGGTTGCCACCAGATGCTCAGGATGAAAGAAGAAATGAACAACCAGGGAACTTTCCCCCTGAATCTTCAACCTCAACCTCAAGAAAGTTGCCACCTTTGCCCACCGGATCAGTGTACCCTTATCCATCTTCCACCACAATGCATAGTGGTTTTCCTTCCCGACCATCTCCTCCACTATACCATCTTCCTGCCAATTCCAAAGTGCCACCCCCCATACCCTCTCAAACTGGTCCTAGTTATTTGACAGGATTCACCTTTAATCCAGCTCCAAGGCCACAGTCTAGTTCACTTCCTACTGACAGTTCTTTGCAGCATGCCGATAAAAGAGTAAGAAGGTCTTGATAATAGCATGCAAACTCAATCAACAGTAAACGATTTATTTGAAAGCTGTACATATGCATGAATAGCAGGTTCATGGATAGGAGTAAATTGTGACAGGTTATATAGTTGGTTTTTCTTTCCTTTTTCTTAAGTAGTGTTGCCACAGTAACAGTCAAACAGAGGACAATTGTTGTCAACAGGC